ATTATAAAATCATGCTCATGCTTGAATATTAAGCATTGGCTGTGCAGTTTCAGTTAGTCTTGGCTTAGGTTGATCTTGATATTCCCAATGCAAGTCACCAACGTCGTAATTATTTATGAATTCCCAACCATCTTCCTTAACGTGGTAAACTACAAATAACAAATTAATTATCAATTGAACGAAAAGAATCTCAAATGTCAGAATTCGTAATTTGAAAATGTATACCATTAATGGAACCACCGGAAGCAGCATCCCTATGAGTCGCATGGTAGATCGATCGTCGACCTAACTCGATGGCATCTTGGGTTGACATATCAAAATCGAATCCGCTGTCCAACACACCATATGCGAATGTTGAACCGGAACCGACAGAAAACAAATCGCCTTTCAATCGAGTACCATCAGAATCAACGTAAAACAAATTGGGACCCTATTATAGACAATAATCTGGTTAATTCTCAGGGTGACAAATTAGAATGAGTCAATTATACTTACCGTTTTATCCCAACCCGTAATCATTGTCCCCTTTCATATCAAATCGTCAGTCTATATATTTTAATGTTTTATAGTATCCAATAAAGTAAACCCTTAATAACTTACCATTGAAAGCCCCATTCCCTTGTATGAATAGACCATATTTACCAGAAGCTTAGAAGCGGCTGCTACAGAAATTCTCTCTTTATTTCTCAATTCGTAAAGACTAGATATATGCGTTTTTTGTAAATTAGGTGGATCCAGCTTTAACTGAGGTTGAAAAAAAAAAAAATTTTTTATCAAACATATGATAATAACCGGCATCGTCGACCAAGTTCTCTCTCCCAGAAAGCACAATCGGCTGCACCGCCAGCCATAGTTCCCAAAAGATGTGGATTTATCTCAATAACTTTTTTTACAGTTTGTGATGCTAAACCGAACATATATCGTGAGAATAGAGTAAGAACACTGATCTAATGAGTAATTGTGTTCAATTAGAAGAAATTGAGTTTACCAATATAACTTCCAGCCGAAGCACGTGAGTCGACGGCAACCACGATACCATTTTGAAATTTAAAAGCTAGAGTTGTGGTACCATGTTGAAGCTTGATACGACATTCAGTCGTTGAATTTTCGTCCGTGTGAGCTTTCAAAAACTCGATAGGCTGTTGATATAAAAGATATTAGATTTGAAGAGTTTACAAGGAACTTTAGATTTAGGAAAAATACGTGCATTATCGCAAGCTGGAAGTTCGAAGACCGGATAATTCAACCCTTTTGCACCATCAATCCCGACGAATCCATTAGCAAAGCCATCGTCGACCCAAACAGAAGCTGTTTTTTTGAACCTGTTGACGAAAGAATCCATTTTGTGAAAGATCATCCGTGGTTTTAGGTTTATATCTTATATCGATGAATTTTTTACTTTTGTGCAACTCTGAGTGATGACGCAAGCAAGTGATAATTACGTACACAGAATTAGAACTCAAAAAAAAACTCTATTCTTCGATGGATCCTACCGCCATACACAGGGAATCTTTTACTTCCACGCCAGTTGCACACCAATTTTACCCGTATGCGGATAACGGCGGGTATTGATCGTTCTTATTAGGAGAGATCGCGCTTACTATTTCAAAGCAAGACACTAATGCAATTTTTTAAACCTTTTACACAGTTCTTCATTGGCGATAGCGGGTGAAGATTTCTGTGTCCTGGCTTCTGACACCCGTCAAAGTAATGGATATAACATAAATTCTCGATATGCTCCCAAGGC